ATAGACAGTTGGTTCTCTCTCATGTAAAAGTAGCTCAGGGAAAAATAAATCTATAGGCAGAAAGCAGGTGGGTAGTTACCTGGGCAGGAGTATGTGTTGGGGGAGGGAGATGGGCAAGGGGCATGGGGATGGACAGCCAAGGGAACAGAAACCAACGGAGTGATGGGAATGTTCTAGAGCTTGGTTGACATGTTGGTTTCATGGTCTATACGTTGGTCAAACCCAGATAAACCATACAGTTAAAATGGGTACATTCTATTTTTTAAATTTTAGCTAAAGAAAGTTGATTTAGCTGGGTGCACAGTGGCACACGCCTGTAATCTCAGTGGCTCAGGAGGTTGAGACAGGAGGATAGTGAGTTCGAAGCCAGCCTTAGCAAAAGCAAGGAGCTAAGCAACTCAGTGAGACCCTGTCTCTAAATGAAATACAAAATAGGGCTGGGGATGTGGCTCAGTGGCCAAGTGCCCCGAGTTCCACCCCTAGTACCCCCTCTCCAAAAAAAAGAAAGTTGATTTAAATGTTAACATCGACAAAGTGGCCCAGGGGCAGGAAATCTGGGATTAAAATAGCAGCTCCAGGTGACAGGGACCCAGGCCCCTGGTCTCTTGTTTCTCCAGCTGGCATGATCTTTATTTGCAAAGTCACATCATGGCCCAGAATGGATGCAAAGGTGCCAGCATTTATACCCTTATTCCAGGTAGGAGGAAGGAGAAAGGGAAAGCACCATCCTCATCCCTTCCCAAGAGATGGTAAGTGCCACAGGGCATCTATTTACATCTCAGAAATCAACCACCTCTGTCCACCTTCCTATGAGGAAGACTGGAACATGTGTCCCACAGAGATCCAGGATCCTGTTATTAAGGGAAAGGAGGCAAATGACTAATGGGGCAATTTGCACAATATCTTAGAAAGATTTCCATGACAAAATGGTAGGAATAAGACATAGGGTGAGCCTTCCTGATCAAAAAACCCAAAAGCTACAAAATCCGAAACTTTCTGAGCTCTGACAGGATACAAGTGGGAGTTTCCAGGCCTGAGCTCAGGTGCCAAGTGCAGGTCACCAACAACAGTGTGCAAAGTTACCTCCCGGCTGTGTGCATCAGGTGCGTCTGAACGCAGTTGAACTTCCTGTTTGAACGCAGAATCCCAAACCCGGACACTCCAGGGTCGGCATGTTGAGGAGGAGACTCAGCTCACGCCGTGTGTGCACTTTAAAGGACAGAAGCAGGAGAGACCCGGGTCAGGCTTCTCCAGCGGGGTGCGGGTCAGGATGTGGGCACCGTCCTGTTGCGGAGGTCGCCAGGTCTGCTGAGAGCGAACATCCGAGGTCAAAGTTGTCTCATTTTCTAGGTGGATTTGTGGCTTCCTCGGGGTGGGCCGGGAGGGGCCAGGCTAGATTTGGAGGGAAAAGCAGGAGTGAGAAAGGCGCAGGGTTTCTTTGGGGAGATGAACTGTTCTGCAGTTTTTTTGGGTGGCAGCTGCGAGGCTCTGGGAAGATGGTGAGAGCTCCTGAGATGTGCGCTTTCCCGGGGCGGACGGCGGAGCGTGAGTGACCTCAATCCAGCTGTTGCATCGCTTTCCTGGTGGTGGTTGGCGGTTCCCTGGCAGGAATCCCGCCAGGGCCTCACCCTTGCTAGACCATCGGTACCACGGCTGGCCCCGGCCTCTTGTGGAGGCAGCTGAACGGCCCTCCCCTGCAGGCCTCTGGCCCGTGTCCTCTGCAGGCGCCCCCTCCCCTGCTCAGTGGCAATCCCTCAGGTTCCTCTCCGGCAGCCAGGGCCATGCCGGGCAGACTGCGGGGAGTTGGGTGCCCTGAGACAGTTATCAAAAAGCCTCCCACATTGAATCCAATGGGAACAGTGGCTGAAGCTCCGAGTCCAAAGCCACGACTTGTAGAAAGCCCTGGTGTGCCAACCTGTTCACATGCCCCTGTCAAGCTGAATGCCAGCACGGACCGTCCTGGGGGCCCGAGGGCCACATGGCCAGCTACCACAGCTGAAGAGAAACACTTGTTCCCACTGCACAAAACACAGGCTCACAAAACCAGCCCAAAGCCTTAGGATTTCCATTAATATTGAGTTTTAAGACATTACGTTGAGGCAGTATTTCTCTTAAGGACTGAGTTGGCATGTTTCACGTTTGGTGTGGGAGGTGAGATTCTTACTCTGATCCTGGTCCCGTGTTTGTGGAGCAAGCCGTGCTCGTATGTGCTTCTGGAATAGTCTGAACCGACTGTTTAGATCTCAGTTTGATATTTACCTGTCTCCACCACCCAAATGTGGGCTCCCTGGGGCCAGGGACTTGTTGTATTTATTTATCTCTGTACACAAAGCTTGGACGGGCTGTGACACAGAGCTTGCTCCACAAACACTTGCTGGATTCGTGAGCTGGTTCCACATAGAAGTCTTAGTTTTTTCTCCCTCCTACACTAAAAGAACAGAGCCCTAAACCCAGCGTTCCTGCCTGCAGGATCCCACCACCACCCATCTACAGAATAAAGTGGAGACTTTATAATGTTTCCTCTCTGTAAAGCTATTTGGGGCCTGAGAGGCTTGGCGGGCCAGCCTGGGTGGTCAGGGCAACATCGTGGACTTGACATGGGGACGAAAGTGTCCCTTCTGGGCCCACTGTCCTTGTTTAGATTAGTAGCCAACAGATTGCCCACTTTTGAGGTGTTACCCCCAACATGTCCAGGGTCTAGAGGGTCACAGGAGGCTCGGGGGAACCGGGATCTGAATATCCCTTCCCAGGCAGGAACAGGGAAAGGGAAAGAGAAGGTCCCCAGGGGTACTGTGAGCCAGGGGCAGCCCCGGAATGGACTGGAGAGTCCAGCCTCCCGACCCACCTGGCCAGCCATCTGCAGCTGGACCCACCAACACAAGCCTCCCCTCCTTCATTCCCTCCATGCCCTAAAGCCTCCTGGGGCAGAAGCTGACCTCATCGTGGACTTCACGTGGGGGCATTCAGGTCACCGGCAAGGAAAGGGAGCTGAGAGTGTCCTGTGGGCAGCAGAGTGCCTCCTCCCTTCTCTGCATTGTTGCAGACGGGCACGTTTCAGGGAGCTGGGTCCCCATCTCGGGGGCAACTAATTGATGGTTTGATGTAGGGCTGCTGTCACTTTACCTTCCCAAAGGACCCTGACTGCCATTTCTGAGGCCCCAGAGAAGGATCAGCTCACAGGGACCTGGCACGGTGCCCAGAGTCACTGGGAGTAACTGGATCAGTGTTGTGGCCTCCTGTGATGTTCCGGCAGTCCCCACCCATAGCACGGTGTTTACCTCTTCCTGCTCTGTCTCCTGTCCTCTTGGGACCAGCTCCTGTCCTCTTGGGGCCGGTTACTCCAGCAATAACAGCAGAGAGTTTGTATGGAGGCCAGACTGCTTGAGAGCAGCAGGGCCTCAGGGCCCTGGCTAAGTGGGGAGGCAGGTGAGGGCCCTGGTGGAGGCCAGGCCCAGCCCAGGATGCTGGGTCAGTAGCCCAGGGCCTCCCTCCCCCTCTGCTCAGCTCCCAGCCTCTCCCCTCCCCCCAGGGAGCCCCTCTCACCATGGTGAGAAGTCAGAGGTGGTGCCTCAGGGTTTGCACAAGATCCCTTTCTCCTTAGTGACATCAGAGTTAGTGACATTGAGAGGGGCCTCTCAGCCCATCAACCAGACCCTTCCCCCACGGTTGCTCTTGAGGCAGACCCAGCCCCCAGCCCTCTCTGCCCATGGGTGACCCAGACCTTGCAGAGGCAGGCCAGTGGGCAGCCAGGACCTGGCACAGGTAGACAGCCTCCCGCAGCTGGAAAACCAGCAGAGAGTGAGCGGGAGCAGGCGAAGCCCGGGCGCCAGCTCCAGGGCAGCTGCTGGACGCCCCCTGCCCCTGCCTACCTAAGCTCTGCCTCCTGCTAGGAAGACCCTTCCCCAGACACCTCTCTTCTGTCCATTGAGCCCCTTTCTTCAGCTGGCACCAGCTCCCCCAGATCCTGCAGCTCTGCTCTTCCTGCCCCCAGCTCTTGTCACTGGGCCTTGAGGGGTTACATGCCCACTCCCCGCACCCCCCGCACCCCTGAGAGCGCATACGCAGCCATCAGGGAGCCCCTGCTGCAGAAGCACCAGTGGGAAGGGAGGGAGGTGCCAGCTGCTGGCCCTGACACAGCCGACGCACCCGTGGGCCTCGGGTCCTGGGAGCCAAGGGCTGAGCCGTTGCTGAAGCCTGGTCAGCCACATTCCTCCTGCCCTCCAGGAGCCAGGGGCCATGACTCAGCACGGAGCCAGCGTGTGGGCCTTCTCTGGGCCTGGAACCGGTGCTTCCGAGAAGCCATCCCTGGACCGTGGTCAGGATCCTCAGATTGGAGCTCCCAGTGAGCTGTGCAGCCTGAGGCATGTTGTTCCACCTCTCTGAATCGTCTCAGCATTCCTCACAAAGCTGGGTGGAGAATTAAAAAGGGCCCCCTCCCCTTGAACTTCTGGTCCATGCTATCTCACACCCCGTGTTGGGGTGCTTTAGAGGGAAAGAGGGAAGCTTAGTGCACTTGGGGTGCCCAGGCCATGAAGGTGACAGGAACCTCTTCCCTGCAGACGTTTGGGGGCACAGGCTGGTCTGCTTTGTTCTGTGTGGCCTTGTTTCTCAAACCAACAACGGGTCTGACCTTGGGAGAGAGTTTTTGAACTTGGGTTTTTCCTGGAGGATCTGGGCCCCTAGGCTGCCCGGGCGGGTCTGCCCACGGTGCAGGTCCGGGGCTGCGCAGTGAGGCACCCTCTGGGTGCAGGTCCCCTTAGGGCTGAGCTGGTTTTCGGATGGCTGAGCAGATCCGTTATCACTGCCAGAGAACACAGTGTGGCTTTGTGCTCCGCCTGGCACCCTCGCCAGCTCTGACAAAGCCACCTGTCACAGGCCCCAGCTGCCCTCAGCCCAGTGGCACGGGGGCCTGGAGCATGGGGGAGGGTCCTTGATTTGAGCCAGAGGTGGGGATCCTGAAGGGGGGCTTCAGGGCATCTTGTCTCTCTCCCTGATGACCCCTCCCCTGTGGGGACGAAGCAACCTCCGATGTCTGTGCTCGGGCCAAAGTCGTCGAGCTGGCCCTGGGAGCCACCCCGGTTCACAAGAGCCAGATGGAGTCACTCTGAACCCTGAGCCGCCTTCCGGCGGCTGCGCACCTCTGCTCCATGATCTCTTTGTTCAGACTGTACCCAAGTACGGATGGGAGCAGACATGGGGTCTCTCCGCATCCCAGCTGAATGTCAGGACCCAGAGAGCAAAGGTCTGAGTGAGGTGAGACGGGAAATAAATGCAGAGTCTGCTTTGATAGGGAAACTCCTCTCTTCTCTCTCTTCCTGTGCAGGGTAAGAAAGATCCAAGCCTCTGAGGCGAACACACCTCGCAGGAGAAATGCAAATCCTTGCCCCTTTCTCCAGGGCTGTGGAGGTTAAGGGACCAGGACCCTCGGGTCTATTGTGAAAGAAACGAAGGGAAGAGGCTTCGGGAGTGGAGGAAAAGGGACCAGAGGGTGCTCAGATCCCAGCCCAGAGGTTCCACTCTGGAGGGGCCAGGGGGTGAGGAGCCACCTGGGGGGCTCCCAAGGGCCTTGGGAAGGACCATGCAGGGAGAGCCCATGGAGTTGTCCCTCACTGAGCCTAACTCTGCCCACAGGCCAGGCCTGGGGACTCTCCAACAATGTCCGTGTCACCAGCAGACTTTGCCGGGCCAGCAGCGTGGCCCAACCGGAGGGAGGCCTGAGAGCTGGGCAGTGCTGTGACATCCCACAAAACGTGAGTCAAGGCAGCACTGGCTCTCAGGGGGCAGCCTGGGGCATCATTTGCTGCAGGATCGTGGCCCTGACACCTGTCTCTTCCACACTCCTGTGCTGGCTCCTTGGACAGGCCACTGCGTGCTTGAGGACCTCAGAGACTCCTCACTGCCACCCTGGCCCTGCCGGAGTCAGCCAAGGCCTGCATCCCTCGCCCCCCGTCCTACCTGTGAGCGGGCAGGTCAGGTGGGCAGGAAGCAGATGTGACGTTCACCAGTGAGCCTTCAGCGCTAAGCACCAGCCTGCTCACTTAGTCCCCGGTGGCCTGCAGCTGCTCTGAGGTTGACCCCTCTCCGTCCCGAGTGAGGCCCAAGTAGTGCACTCCCGCGGGAATCCTCCCCAAAGGAGTGCTCACGGAGGACACTGGACACCGCAGAGGGTACTGGTGCTCAGGAGGAAGAGCCCTGACCCCCCGAGGGACACGGGAGGCCTCTGGAGGGCTGGGGCATGAACCGAATGGGGACAAAGCTGAGTGACATAGATTAGCTGGGCCTGTCCTGTGTGAGTCCAGGAGTGAGGCAAGGCTGGCCTGCATTAGGACATGGCCGTGGGAGTCGGAGAGGGGACAGTCCTGGGGAGAGCAGCCTCCCAGAGCTTCCCCCGGGGGTGGTGCTGGGTATGGAGAGGAGAAGAGACGGAGGGCAGTGGGGCTTTCCAAGGTGGGGACTTGGAGAAAAGCAGGACACCGGAGTGAGGAGAGAGTCCTAGGAGGGAGCGCTGAGGAGGGGTCACCTAGGAAGGCTGGTGAGCAATGGGCATGTGTGACTACAGCAGCTGGCACAAGTGACCTCCCCGTACAGCCCTGTCCCCCTTCTCAGCATGCGCAGGTCCCACTCTGTCCGTCTCTGCTCTCTCTGGGCTTTCTCTTGAGCACCCTGGCACCCCATTCCCTCTCTATTCTGTCCGCTCTTCCATGTTCCTTAACAAGTGCTTGACGCCTTCTCCAGCCTGAGAAATGCTGTGACCTCTTCCGCACACTTCGCGTCACAGCAGGGGACCTGCCCTCTTGGCACCTTCACTTCCTGTGCTGTGTCTGGCCTGAGCTCACCCTCCCCGGGCCCCAGGAGCCCAGAGGCCTTCCAGTCCTTCTGCTTGGGGAGGCCTCGCCCCGTCCCAGCTCAGAGTCTCGAAGTTCTGTCCTCCTTTGCTGTAACTGGGCTCTCCTCATGAATATTGCAGCAGGACGCGGCAGGGCTGCCAGGGGCTGCAGGTGTCCACTCGCTTCCTTCTGAGCCACAGAAGCCTGGGCAGCAGGAGGGGCCTGGTGCTGCAGAGCTGGCCAGTGAGGAGGAGGCCGCCTGGCCAGGGTGGCAGGTGGCAAGGAAGAAGCTTGGCCGCTGGTGAGAGGGGCTGCCATGGCTGTGCCCACTGCCACACCCCGGGTTGGTCTCACAGCCAGACCAATGGGAACAGACACGTGCCAGTTACTGTCCCCGAGGGAGGAACCACCCATCCCCCACCCCAGGCCCCTTCGCAGTTACCGCCTTGTCCTTTCTCAGTATCTTGTCATATGAAGGACTCGTGGCTCAGCTGGTACACCTTCCGCTGGCTCCTGGTCCACACGGACGTGCACCTCCATGACATCACCAGGCCACTTTCCCCTAACCACCCACAAGCGCCACCTTGCCGAGTCCGGCGGACGCTCCCTGCCTCCTCCCACGTGCTCACACCCGTGTGCTCACACCCACGTGCTCACACCCACATGCTCCCTCCTGCACTTGAGGCCCCTGGGATGTTTGGGTGGAGGTGTCAGGGCCAGAGCGAGAAGCAGGGTCAGGGCCAGAGACATAGTGAGGAAGTGGTCACCCTCAAGAGGTCATTGGCACCGGGCAGTGCCCTGGCAGCCCTGGTGGGAAGAAGCCGAGCCTCTGGAAGGAAGGCCAGGACCTCTATTTTGACCAGCTGGCCTGTCAGCCCCTGGATACTCCAACAGCTGCCAAGCTGCAGAGGCACGGCCAGGAGGTGTGTGGAATGAGAGGATGCTGGACCACACCCGCGGCTCCAGCGGGGAGTCGGTGGAGAAGCCAGCGGCAGGGCTGAGCCACCACGTCTGGGAGGCGAAGGGGCAGGGAAGGCTCTGTCAGAAACACGAAGCCCAAGAAGGAGAGGGTGTCGGCAGAGAGCAGGAGGTGGAGCCCGAGGAGGAAGTAGAAGAGAGCACTGAGGAGGGAGCACTGAGGAGGGGAACATCTAGGAGGGAGCACCTAGGAGGGAGCACCTAGGAGGGAGCATTGAGGAAGGAGGGCCTAGGAGGGAACACTTAGGAGGGAGCACCTAGGAGAAGCACTAGGAGGGAGCACCTAGGAGGGAACACTTAGGAGGGAGCACCTAGGAGAAGCACTAGGAGGGAGCACCTAGGAGAGAGTGTGTAAGAGGGAGCACCTGTGCTGGTGGAGCTGCCAGGCCCTTTTTCAACCTCCTTCTGTTGGAAACCTAAAGATAAAAATACACATTTCTCTTCATGCACAAAACTACACCAAAGGGGCGGACAGGGATGGCACCCATGGCAGAAACACCTCTCAGCAGGGCTTTGCCTGTTCTGGTCTGGTCCGCAGGGCTGGAAATGTACCCTGGTAAGCACTCTCCCTTTTCCTAACCTAGGCCAGGTAAAAGGATCTATCAGGCCCCTGTGTGGTGAGTGCGTGATGAAACGTCCTGGGCAGCTTCCAGTGTTTCCAGGTCTGATTGACATGAAGATTTTGGGGCGTTGCACAGACAGCCACTTGTATTTTAGAGCCCCACAGAAGTATTCTTTTCCCAAACTTTTAGCCTGGTGTTAGTTTAGTTTAGCAAAACATCAGTTAAAGTGAAAAAAAAATTTTTGAATCAAACAGATCTCTAAAGTCTTCTTTGTGAGTGGAAGAAGCCATTCACCGGCCCATTTTGGTGTAGGCACAATGCCTCCTCTGGACCCAGGGCATGTGGTGGGAGCATCAGCAGCACCCACAACTTCTAGTTTCCATTTCTTTTGGGCACAGCAAGAACTTTAAAAAACGGTTGTGAAACAACTTGGGTGCAGCGGGGCTCAGAGTCATTTTTCCTACGATCCCCCAACGGCTCTCTCCTGGGTGACAGTTACAGTTACTGGAGTGTCTGAGCCCTCCAGCCGTGGTCATCGGCTATTCCCTCTGTGTCTGTCAGGAATTTGAGAACAACCAGACCGTGGAGATCCGCTCGGGGTTTCTCGGGAGGCTGCCGTCGGACGTCAGCCAGGGCTGCCCTCGTGAGAAGGACTGGCCCACTCCCAAGACTGTGCCAGCTGCTGGGGGGAGCCTCCGCTCTGCCCCGTGGGGGCTTTCCTGAAGAGCTACCTTCCAGACCAAGCGTCCCAAGGACCCGGCAGAAGCTGCTAGTGCTTTCATGACCTAAGCTTCAAAGACACACAGTGTCCCTTTACCTCGTATTCTATCGTCTCACAGACCGTGAGTCCCGGGTGGGAGAGAATCACACAGCAGTGTGAATAGCGAGAGGTGAGAATCACCGGGCGCAGTCTTGGAGACGGGCTATCACACCAAGCTTGACGCCACAGCACGTTTTTTTTTTTTTCAGTGATTCACTTAAATGAATCTTTTTAAAATCATTTAATTGAGTGTTCATAGAAATAACTGTTTTTACTTTCGTACTTTGTGTAATAGACATCTTTTGTGTGTATTATAACAAGCACAGCTGACATGAATGGGAACATAACCAACTGGCAAGTGAAGAGAAACCACCAGATGTGGCCGCCCGAGGACACGGGCTCACCAGAGAGGAGGACGCAGCCTGAAATAGGGAGCACTTGGGCTTTGTCAGGGGCTGTGGAGCCTCAGCCAATGGAGCCCAGTGTAGTGGTAAATGCCCTTTAGGGCGCTAGGGAGTCAGTACAGACAGGTCACCTGTTTATTTGTAGCCTAGGAGCTGCCTACAGTCTGTGTATTTGGGCCAAGAAAAGTTCAGTTGGCTTCTGTCAGCACCTCCTGAACACCCACAGAACCAGGCACTGAAAATCCCGAGACAAATTCTTCTCCCGGGTGGTCAACATCCAGAGGAAGCAGTAGCGCTCACTGGGCGGAGGGAAACCCAGGAGGTGTGGGGCTCAGAGGAGCGGGAGGCAGCTGGGCCACCTGGGGGACGCACCCAGGCCGCGGGCGTGAGCTAGGGACATTTCTGGTCTCAGGGTTCTGGAGTCCGGTGTCTGTGGTTGAGGTGTCAGTTGGTGGGCTTCCTCTGAGGTCTCTCTTCTTGACCTGTGGATGGCCACCGTCTTGCTGTGTCCTCACACCATCTACCCTCTGCGGTGTCTAAGATCTCATCTCTTCTCAGGACACCACTGGTCATATTGGGTCAGGGCCTACCCAGAGGACCTCGTTTACCCTAAGTGCCTCCTTAAAAGCCCTATCTCCAAACTCGGTCACATTCTGAAGTAGTGAAGGTCAAGACTTCAACAGGTGAGACACACCCAACCCATAGCTGGGAGGGAGAAGTGTCTGCTCCAGCCAGGAGCAGGCGCTGCTGACCCAGTCCTGAGGGACCAGTAGGAGCTCTCCTGGCAGAGCGGGGTGAGGGGTGAGCTCTCTAGGAGGGCAGGGCGCGTTGTGGAATGCAGGGTAAGGCGGACGCACCTTCCTTGTCCTGGAAGCAGGGTACCTGCCCCTCGGGCCCAGGGCCTCATGCCGGGCCCACCTCTGTGGGAAAGGAACCAACTCCACTGCGCTGTACCACCGAGGCCCAGGGCGCTCCTCACCGCTGGGCCGGGGGAGTGACTTTTGTGTAATTTGGCCTCCGGCATGGAAAGTTAAATCAGCTGGAAAGAGTAAAAGGAAGTTGGAAAACAAACTGAACCCAACCACCAGCTCAGGAGTGGTAAAGGGACGGTGCGGCTTTCGGAAAAAATGAGCCGCACAGAAAGTCTGAAGGAAAGCGAAGGAGGCCTGGCCTGGCCCTCTGGCTGGGTGTGCTTCGGGAGGCTGTGTGGGGCTCTCTCCCGGCCTGCCAGCCTGCTGCTACTGGAGGGTCTGGCCTGTGTGACAGTGTCCCCTGAGCATCCAGAAGAACCTTCGGCTTGGGGCCCTCGTCCTCTGGTGCCTCGCTTCAGTGTCGGCTTCCATTAGCAAGAAGAGGAAGACAGGTGATCCCACGGCGGTCCTGCTCCGGCCATGGCGGGCGGTGCCGGGGGTGTGGAGCCCTCACGGCTGGCACAGGAAGCCCCCCAACAAGCAGCACCCAGGGGAGGCGCCAAAGCCCCCCCCCTCAGGCCTCCCCATCTGTGGATCTACAGTGCCCAGCCTCCCTCCTCTGCAGTTGGGTTGAGGTGTGACCATTACATACAGCCCGGCTTCCGTGCCTGCCTCCAAGGCTGACTCGGGGAGCTTGCCCAGTGGCAGAGCCCTGTGCAGATGCGGACCTCCAGGAACAGCCAGGAGGGGAGCCAGGATTTGGCTCAGGGGTCCTAGACAGATGGGGCCCTCCAAAGGACTCCCTCCTCCTGAGTGGTGTGGATCCACTAGTAGGGGGTGGGATGAGAAAACATCACAGTCCTGATGATCTGACCTCAGCCTTACAAACTCTTAGGGAATGTTCCATGATTTGCCAAACACCCTAGCACAGCACTTGTAAGGACATGGTGACGTCTGCAGGTCGAGGTGCATGCAGCTGACCTCTTTTCTGGCAGTCCACTGGCCTCAAAACACCGCCCTCCACAATGTGGCGCCTGGCATTCGGACTTTCCCCAAACTTTTCAGACTCTGGCTGGGAAGCACCTCCCTCTGGCCCTCTCCTGCAGGGTGTCCAGTACAAGCTCTCCAGGGAGGCGGGGCTGAAGAGCTGTCGGAAGACTTTGGCTCTGCCCTTGTCCTGGGGTCAAGAAGGAGTCCTTCTTGACAAAGAAAGGCAAACAAAGGCAGGGCTTGTGCAAACACTCTTGCACATGTAAACACACGTGCTCACACATACACACTCCACCCTGCCTGAGATACCAGGTTTGCAAGATCTGGACTGGGGTGTCTTGGGCAGGGCTGACCTGATAAGAAGTCCTGTGCTGGCCACGAGGGGCCAGCTGGCATGGCTGCCTAATGCCTTCGGCTCATCTGCCAGGTGGAGCCAAGTGGCCCTCCTGGGTCCAGTCCCTGGGCCCCTTTCTGTGGAGAAGCCCTCAGAAGCCTGGGTCAGGCCTCCAAGGGAGGCCCCAGTCCTGGAACAGAGACAAAGCCTCTGCTTTCTAATGGGGCAGATGGAGGCTCAGGAGGAAAAAAGGACATGCCCAAGGTCAACTGTCCAGGCAGCACAGAGCCAGACATCAGACTTCAGGCTGGAACCTGATGCCTCCCGGGGGCCTCCAAGCTGCCCTCTGTGCCTGTGTGTCCAGCAGGGTCCCCAAAGATGCTGTGGGTCCAGAGGGGCTGGCTAGCATGGGCCGGGACCACCCAAGGCTGGAGCTGACTGGAGGGACGTCTCCTCTCTACAATCCTCCCAGCCTTGTCCCAGCTCCAACTGGCCAGGAACCTTGCAGGCTGGGGAGCACTTAGGGAGGATGCTCCGGCTCACTGCCTCCCACCTCTTCCCCTGCTCTGGCCAGGGTTTGGGAGCAGACACAGGCCGCCCTGAGCAGCCTGTGGTGAGCAGGCCCAGGCTACAGGAGGGAGAAGACACTCCGGTCTGCCATTTACATGGGGCATCCACCATCATTTTGGTTTCCTTTGGGGACAGCTCCTGATACCCAGGGACTCCCTTGGAAGGTGAGGAAGCAATTATTTGCATGAAGCTATCAAATCAGAAGTAACACTCCACTTTTGCTCCTCATTCTGTCCTGTCTGTGGCTCTGGGCCACCATCCCTCAGACAGAAGAGAAGATGGAGACTCAAAGATTAAGTCTCTGCAATACTTGTGTCTTGCTGCAAGTCTGGGCCAGCTCCTGTGTGCCCACATGGCATCTCAGCAGCTCTGCGCTGCGAAGCCCTGGCTCAGACCTGACACATCGGACCAGCTTCTCAAGGCGTATATTCTCAGGCCCCTTCACACACCTCCAGATTATGCAGGACCCCAGAGGTGTTTGCAAACATGGGTCACATCTACCCATATTTACTGCTTGAAACTAAAACTGAAAATTTTCATAAATATTTTAATTCACCTAAATAAATCTGTTACAGTTATGGTAAAAATTATACTTTTCCAAAACAAAGATGTTTAGTGAGAAGTATGGCATGGTTTTTACACTTTTGCAAATATCTTTAATGCCCAGCTTGACAGAGGACTCCTCTATCTGCTCGTGCATTTAGCTATTACCATAGTGTAATAAAAACTGGAAAACTCCACTGTATACTCGGAGAGGATAAGAACAAAACATCAGTACTGTCTTAGATTGTTATGCAAATAGTTTTAACTTGCAGAGTTCCTGAAAGGGTCTCAGGGGGATCCAACCAACAATTTGAGAACAAACACATGACACTCTATGGATGCAATGTGTGTCATTTGTAAAGCAAATCCCTTGACTCTAAGGATCCACATCATAGTATTTGTGAAATCATAACGTATCTTGCCGTTGCCCAATCCTGTCATGCACCATCCGCTTGGGGGTCCATCTTTTAGTCTATGGTGTCTTAGAATCAGGCACCATATTATAATAATTGAAGAAGCAAACATCTGGATGGGATACTCTTTGGGCTGCTCTCATACACATCTTTTAGGAGCCTGCACAGCATTGAGCTGGCACCTAAATGGACCTGGGCATGGGGTACAGATGCTGGGCTGGACTTGGCCCTGCTGGACTAGCATGCAGGGTACAGGAGGAGTCCCCAGGGACATCTGTTGTGCATCATTCCTCCCTACAGCCTGCTCTAGCCCCTGCCCCCAACTCTACCTGGGGCTCTCCACTCACCCTTCTAGGATAGTGAGCTATTGAGGACCAGCTGTTGCTGTGGGCACCTCAAAGGAGGGAGAGGGTGAAGTCCATCCTCTGTGCCCGGGGCCTGGCACCAAGCCATTCCTGAGATGCAGGCTGAGGGAGGCAGGTGGGCCCTCCACATTAGGAAACCTGAGTTTCCAAAGCCCATTCGCTCGCAGCAGATGGAGGCTGAGCCAGGAGGAGGGTCTTCCCCGCAGGGCAGCTGTCGTTGGCAGAGCTGAGGGTGTAACTCTACACAGGGAAGCTGTGCTTGGCAGCTCCTCCTGCCTCTGAAGATAAGCAGGGCAGAGCCTCGTGCTGGGGCCTCCTGTGGGAGGGCTGCCTGGAGTCCCTGTGAGTGGGGCATGCTGGGAGAGGAGGCTCCGGGGAAGCACCCAGGTGTCTGCCCCTTAGCGGGCACCTAGCTTGCCTCTCCCTCTCCTGGGCATGCTCCCCTACTTGTCATAGATGTTGGGGAATTTGCCTCGTCCCTGCTCTCTCTGGGATCCCCAGCCCAGTACCCAGTGCAGTGCTCAGCACCTGATTAGGGCTGATGAAAATGAATATTTTAAATGCATCAGGGTAAATGGGTTTGGGGTGTTTTTTGTTTTTGTTTTTAACAGGGTCTTGCTATGTTGCCCAGGCTGGCTTTGAACTCCTGGACTTCATTGTTTCTCCTCCCTCGGCCTCCTGAATAGCTGGGATGCCGGGTGAGTGTCAGGGAACCCTGTGGGAAGTATGTATACCTATATCTCAAGCAGACCCCCTGGACACACTAAGCTCTCCCACCCCCCATCATCCACAAACCTCTGCTCCCAGAGGCCCTGGGTGAAAGGGTGAGATAGCGCTTTGTTAACCCACTCACAGTGCAGTGCCTGGTGCTGGGTCAGGTTCAGGGCTGGCCAGTGCCAGGGCACCGGTACCACCCTGGAAGGGGCTCAGAGCCCAGCCTTGCATTGTCCATAACACCAAGTCCCAAGAGAAGTGGCCACTGGTGCAGGAAGCGCAGCTTGCCCTAGGTCAGCTGAATCCACCTGGAGCCTTCCTTGACAGCGGACAAAGGGAGAGCGGTCAGGCTGACCACGGCTAGAGGTGAGAACTGGACCATCCTGGGCGTCCTCGCTTGGCACACCAGGAGTCCTGGAGGCTGCCCATCCCGCACAGACGATTGGAGCTGCCCCAGGAGGCAGAGGGGCGAGGGGCCAGGTCTTTTGGGGAGGAACCCTGTGCTTGGACTTGGAGGGGCAGCTAAGGCAGCGTGCCAAGCCAAGCCTCAGGCTGGGTGCTGGAGTCCTGGCTCGGGACAGACCTGTTGCTGAGGGGCTGAAGCACCTCCCCCACCCCCACCCATGAGCCTCCTGGTGTCCTCTGTGGTCAAAGAAGCAGCATCCTTAAGGTCCCTCCTCTCTTCAACTCTGCCTCCAGACGCAGAGGAAATCATCCTCATGTCCGACAAGCCATGATGACCACATTCCCAAGTCCCCACTTTGCCACGCTCGGGAATGTCCCGTGTCAAGTGTGACAGGTGGGCGGAGGAGGAGGTGAGGAGCAGGATCTGGATACACCAGGGGCTCCTGGGCCGGGGCAAGCAGGTCCATCTGGGCCCGCAGAGCTGGGGTCCTGTTCAACCAGTGACTGCGGCCGCCCCGACCCCTCACGAGGCACCTGACAACTGCTGTGTCTTCTGAGTCAGGTTGCAGTGGAGAGTGGAGATGTCCTATCCCGAGAGGCCCAGAAAGGGACAGATTTGCCACACACAAATCCCTCCCAGCTGGCTGTAGAAAGCCCGAGACATTGGGAGTCCAGGTCTGCTTTCCAGCGTCCTTCAGCACGTAGGGTCAGCAGAGTCTTGGCTCCCCGTGGGCCCATGATCCCACGGGCACTGCTGACCGTATCTGCAGGCTGTGGCTCACCTCAGCTCAGAAGCCGCTGCGAGGGCCACGCTGTACCTGTTTGTCTAGGGCCCTCAGCTGGCATTGGGCCCGAACTCCTCTCCACCAACCGTCGCCGTCCCCTGGGTCCTTGGTGGGAGAAGTCCAAACAAGAGAGAACACGAAGCTCAGATTTAGGAATGGGCAGCCCGGCTTTGGGGAGTGTTTGTGAAGTACAAATAAGAGAATCCAAAAATAGGAGAAAGGAGGTGTGTGATCAATGCGGGAACACAATGAGAAGCAACAGTTAGGCCTCGGTTAGGAAGAAAACTCCTTTCCTGGCGCTTCCTGCCCTGTCACCGTGGGCTGCATCCATATCACAGGCATCTTGGAAAAGGTGAAGAAAGGAAAACAGAACTTTAGCTGCCTCAACGGCCCCGGTACCGATCCTCCTCCCCCTGATTCTGATGCTAGAAGCTTTCGCTCAGTAACGACCTTGTAGTGGATCTGGCTTTAATCAAGAAGCAAAATGGCTTCAGGAAAAGGAAAAAACTTCCACACAAGAAGCTTTTAAAAGCCAGAACCCCACCCTTCTCAGAGAACATTCCTTCAGCGTGGCCCAGGTCTGCAGGTCTCTGTCATCCATGACCCTAGTGACCCCCAAAAGGACAGCTTCCTGACCTTTTCTGCTTAGGCCACCTTCCTGCTCGAACACCTGCAAAGCCTCCCCTTGTGCCAGGGATAGCGTCCTGTTTCCTGGGTTGAATTCTCAGGTCCAAGGTGAGCTCTGCCTCTGCTCAAGGCTCCAGTGTCGTCTTCCTGCAGATTCGGGACCTCGGCTCTGGCACCTCCACTGCCTCATGTGTCCCAGTGACGCACCGATACTCACTCAGGCATCCCCGGGGGAGGGGGTCCTGCAGCCCGTGGAATTGGTCACCTCCATAAGCTTTGACCTTCTTCAGGCTTCCTGCTTTGGTTATCTGAAGGCAAGAACCTGGTGGGGCCCAGGTGGTGAGCTGGCCACAGAGTCCATTTCCTCTTCCTGAGCACACAGTGTGGACTACCCTCCCCAGGTCCCCTTGCAATTAGGCATGGCCATGTGACCCACATGGAGCCCAGGAACTTGGGCAGAAGTGATGTGCTGCCCTTCTAAGTCTAGCCTATGAAATTCTTCTCTTCTCATAGGTAGGTTGGAAGAGAGAGGACCTTGAGGATGACCTTGGGGAGCCACATATTGAACAGGGTGGTTCCATGGGATGCAAGAAGCCTGGGAAGATGGCTTCCTAGGAGAGTGGCCCCACCAGGCACACACAAATTGACTACTGCTTGAAGATATTCAAATGGGTAAGTCCATCTGTTACCCAGCTAACTCTGCCTTACCTAGAATCCCTGGCTTCATCTCAACTCTCCACCCCACACCCTGTACTCAGAAACCAAGTCCCATCCGTGACTTACTCCCTCTGAATCCCCACGTCACTAGCTCTGGCCTTGCCATCCCTAAGACCTAACCTGTCTATGCCCACCCTTCCCCGATAGCCACCTCCCCTCAGTCTGAGCCCCCAGGTGCTCACACAGGGAGCAGCCTGAACCCCAGCCTCAAGGGAGATGCGAGGGTGGGAAGATGAACCAGGTCAGCAGCCTCCCTCAGCTGGACCCAGCAGACCCTCAAGACACTGGATCTCACAGAGGTTTGTTAGGGAGCAAAAGTTAACTGGTATAAGAATTTTGGGGAGGGGTATTGAACTCAGGAGCACTTGACCACTGAACCACACCCCCAGCCCTGTTTTATATTTTATTTAGAGACAAGGTTTCTCACTGAGTTGCCTAGTGCCTCGCCATTGCTGAGGCTGGCTTTGAACTTTAGATCCTCCTGCCTCAGCCTTCTGAGCCGCTGGGATTACAGGTGTGGGCCACCGCACGCAGCAATAATTCTTAGATTTCACCCATGCCTGCCAAAAGAGAGCCTGGTTTTTTTCTTTGCTTTGTCTTGTCCCTTCCTCCAAGTCCAGAGCATGTCAAAAGCAGAGAGAGTGATGCTGGTGCACCAGGAATGGCCGAGACACGCAGAGCCAAGGAACAGAGGGGACAAATGGAGCCCGGATGAGATCATTTGAGCCCAGGACATCTAGCCATGCAAGCCCAAGACAATCTTTCCTTTTTGGTCTCTATTTCTTCCCTGAGCAACCCAAAGGCTCTTGAAAGGTTCCTTCTTTCCCTGTCTCCTGAGTTCCTCAAGGCAACAACTGGGTTTCATTCATCATGTGTCTCCTGTGTCATCACAGACACAGGACGTGGGCTTGATGAATGTAAACTGTCCACAATAAGTGTTCAACCAGGAAGAACTGCCCCAAGAGTGTTGTCCCCCAAAAGCCCCAAGATTTCATCATTCTTCACTGAA